TCCGCCAATCATGACTGACAGCCCTCGGCGTAATCGCGGATTAGCAACGGACACTTTTTTTTACAAGGTAAGAAGGCTAACGTCCATATACTTCATAAGTATGATTAGAAAGATATGACATAGATATGGCATGATGGAGAAGATACACATCTAACCATTAGTAACAATGGAAACAATACCACACCGTCATGTAAGCCTAGCATGTACGAAAAAAACTGGCTAGCATCTCGTCTTTTGTACGTCTTTAAGGCCCCAACCAGGCGTGTTACGTTCACAGACAAATTAGCTTGACTCGAACAAATAGAGCCCATAAAGAAACTGTCAAAAATAAATAAATAAATAAATAAAAAAATAGTGCTCTGTCCCTCACTTCCGATGTCCGTCATGGCGCCTCGAATGATAAAATGACTTAGTTGGAAAGGGTCAATAAAACTGGAACAAGCTTTCATTTTTACAACAGTGAATGCATGAGTAATGTTTTTTCTTTTACTCTCTTACTGAATTAAGGTGTGACCCGACTTGACCTACAACTTAGACATTTTTCAATTTTTTTTTTTTTGTAAAAACGGGATTGGAAATATCTGCTTCTAATTATTGTTAAGAAATTGCTAACAATTAGATGTAGCAGGTGGTAGCCTGGTGTGTAACTGTTCTCACTAAGCCTACATTGTTTTTTCAGGTTTTTTCCACATGCACATAAAGTGGAGAGATGATTCTAGTTATCAAAATTATAAATCTTTGAATAGAAATATCCACAACATACTGTACATAAAAACATACCAGTCTGCAAAATTTGGATTTCGTGTAATTATGTTTTTATCTATAAATTATAAACAACAAAATCCATCTAGACTTCTTTATTTATTTTTTTATTTATTTTTTTTCCAAACCAGACATGTTTTCTTTAAATTAAATCTGACATGCATTTGATTAAAAACAAACCCCTATTAAATATTCTGCTTTTTCTCTGGACTGGAGAACTCTGCAGTCAGGAGCTTTTTTTCTCCCATAAAATCTACATCAAAGTTAATAAAGATTTATCTATTGTCTGCAGTAATAGAAAAGTGTTAATAAGCAGATAGCAAACTACAACCACTTGAAGAAGATGAAGCAATTTCTCTCTATTCCAATAATAGATGGCGACAGGATAAAAGATAAAAGTCTTGTTCTTGCTTCAAGTGTGGTGTCGGAGCTGTAGGAGCAGCTGACTGTTTGACAGCGGATGCTGAATGGAGTTGAAAAAGGAACTTTGATCTCACAAACTGAGTATAAACAGGGAATGTCAGAAGGCTTATAAGTGGCAGTCAGAGAATTTCAAGACAAGGTTAACCATACTAACCTTTGCCAATTTATGTCTTGGTCATAAACTAAATTCATGTTAAGGTGGCAGTCTGCTAAATGTCTTCATCTTTGTAGGAATGCAAGAGCCAGTAGAGTGTGCAAAAATAATATTGCCAATATATACATACATGTATACATATACAGTACACACATATATGTTGCCAATATTATTGGCAGTATATACATTACAATGGGTTACACATTGTCTTTTTTTCAGTCAAATATGGGTTAACATAGCACTAATCAAATGAACATTGTTCTGCTTCACAAACAGTCTCAGTTTGGACATGGACGACATGACCCTCTGACCTGAGCAACCTAGGCAGCGTTACAGAACAATACAAAGATGTGCTTTTTTGTGTGCAAAGAGGATTGTGAGGTGGCGTTAATGCTTGAAGTATATCCACTGTATCAAAATCGGCAGACATGAAGAAATTACAGAGTAGGGAGCCTTTCTGTGGATGTTTGTATCATGGAAGCGGTCACGTTGAGTAGAAAATGGAGCACTAACAGGAAACAACATAGCCCAACTAACAGATCTTTTTCTAGTTGTTTCTGGAAGGAATTATTTCTTAAGGTAAACTTTCAGACTGAAAATCATTATGGTAATGTAAAGTGCTAAACTAAGTTCTTCTACAAAATGATCCCGAGATCATGTAGCTAATTGGGTTTGGATTTTCTGTTTGGAGGCTACACTTAGGTGGGTTACGTTGTAGTTTCATTCAGTAATCTCACAGTTTGAAGGTAGCTCGATTGTAAACTCTAAATCAAGTGTGAGTGCAGGGTTGCTTTTGGTAATAGGATGGGGCTGGTGATGACCATTGGGTGTGCCTCGGGATTGCTGCCTGTTTAATGCTGGGATATGCTCAAGTTCTTTATTTACACTGAACAAAAATATAAACGCCCCATGTCAAAAATAAGAGTTTTATGAATATTTGAGTTACACAATATATAGAGAAACTCAAAGTATATTTTCAGTAATTACTGATCTTCGTATCGGCAGTGATAACATCATGGTATGGCCATTGACATACCATGAGCGGATTGACAGTCCTTTGAACATGATAGAGGTCAAGTTGAGGAATTTGATTTTGACCAAGTTGGCTTCTCGTAGGCGTGTTGCGTCTGTTGTGCAGACCAGCAGTCTCATGGCCGATCCCACAGATGGACGAAGCGGATGTGGCAATTTTGTGCTGGAGTGGTCACACATGGCCGGCGAGGATGAGGTCGATTTATACTAGTGCCAGTCTGTTGGAAACAAACTCTTAAACGGGCTTATGACTTGTGACAAAATTTGACATTTTCCGATGGCCTTTTATTGTCCCCAGTCCAACGATTGTCCAGTTGATCATTTTGTCTGATCACCCACTGGACATCTCCCACCATGTACTGAGTAAAAACAAAATAAAAAAAACAAAACAAAAAAAAACAACTCACTGAGTAATGCTCATTGACAGCAAGTTGGATTAAAACTGATTCAAAAATCAATAGAAATATTACTTTCGTACAATAAAATGTCAGCAAATGCTCATTTACAGTCCTTAACTCCACATGGTAACAATCTTACATAGGGCATTTATATTTTTGATCAGTATATGTAACTTTTATACCATAGAGCCACAAGGCAGATACACAAAGGCACAAGGATTTATTGAACAGTCATAAATTTGACAAATTTCAAGATGACACTTCAGCGTGAGGCAAAAAAAAAAAAAAAGAAAAAAAAAAAACTTTTTGAATTTTTCATATTTTTCTTCTGTAAGGATAAATGTTTTTTTTTTCCTGGTGCACATCTAGTCTTAGATATACTGTGCCTGTTTTCATCAGGAGGTTTTATTTTAAATAAATAACTTGACTGTATCCTTGATTTTTAAGTTTTGGATCAATTTTGAGCAATTACTCATTTAAGTTGTTACAATGAAACCACTGAAAATAATATTATTCATTCAAAAACAGTCAAAAAATCATTGACATTAGAATTAAATGTGTTGTATAAAGAACTAATTTCCTTATTTGATTCCCATTCACAACCAGTGAAAAAGAATAATATAATATATTCAGCAAATCGTCATTCTAATGTCACTTTTGCAGAACAATTTATTGTTTTGACCCACACTTTGAGTGTTAACAGGTTTAAACGCCTCAGCTCTATTATTCCATACAGTCACACACAGAGAGGAAGAACGCAAGAGACTCAGGCTGAAAGAGACACAATGAATATAAAGTAGAAATGCGATGACGATCAAAATGGAGTTTTTCTCTGTTCCCTTCCATCAGCAGTGGCTCTCAAACCCTCCATCTACCAGCGAGCCATGATCTTCTGACAGTAGCAATCACAACCCATTGAAAATGTCCCTCTCATCAGAAAATGGCAGCATGGAGAAATCTATAAAAGGTTTTAATGTTGTGAGCCAGCCATGATTGCCCAGGGTTTTTTCTCTTATTCACCAGATCACAGTGTCCCATTCCCTCCTTGCTTCTCTCTGCCAAGATAGGCAGAGAACATTATGTATAATGGCAGCTCCATTGTTACAGGTAGAAAGCCCATATGTTATTAATACTAATTGTACTTGCCTGACAGTGATTGTTTTTCTCTGCTTGGTAATTGTCCTTTTGGCTTTTTCTGTCAGGATTAACCAGGAAAAGGGAACAGATATTAACAGAAACATTTTTTATTCTTAGGGATGGATGCAAAGATTGATTTTCCCTAATACCTGTACATGGATAAAATGCAAGGGAGTTGATCATAGACTAGGTTTTAATATTTTTAGTAATCAAATTTGGCAATACTTTTAATCTTAAGCAACATAAACAATATGTGTCAACTGGTAAAAGGAATGATGGTTGTCTGTGGAGTTGCCTGTTTAAAGATATTAAAACTGGTGTTTTTTTATTCATCCCTTTTACAGCATTTTCTTTTTCACCATACCCAATGTTGTAGTGATCAAAAGCCCGACTCCGTCCAGTCCACAGATAATAAAGGAAGAAAATTATTTACCTCTGCTAATGAAAACCCACCTTGAGAGCCATGCAGCTGCATTTTAATCACTCACTCAAAAGTCAAGCAATCACACATCAGGGAAATTTGGGTGTAGGAGGTTGTGCTAATAGTTTGCAATTCAGATTGGACAGACATTCAGTTAGATATTCGCTTCAGATGTATTCATACTTTACATGAATTTGTCTGATTATGCTTCCATATTTCACACTGACAAAACCCTAATTTTGACTGCTTCTAAATGTTTGGTGAAACATTTAGTTCCATGGATTTTTAGCAAAACACTCCAACCAGATATTTCTTCAATTCTGGCAGCAGTCGGGGAGCTGAATTGCTCCAGGGCTGAGAGAAAGCATGCTGTGCTGATGGCCAACAACCTCTTGTTTCCAGAACAGCATGTCTGTTAGACCTGCCTCAAGCCAAGTAGTTAAAGAGTATATCTTGTCACTGATTTGATCAAGGAATTAACTGCTCTCCAGAAACAACAACGTGTCCTGCCAAAGTGTCCTTACGGATACTTAATTTTCATCTGCTCACTCAGTAAAAATCTTTCCATCAGGTTGTCAGTTAATTCTCAAACATATGTAGAGGAAATTGTAATAACATAATCTTTAAAGTTGGCTTCCTGACCTCTATTCCAATTATATTTTATGTGTTTTTCAGACTTGCCTCAGGCATTGATGGCATTCCTGTTTAAGTGAAGGTGACAAAGCATCCCTGGAACCGTGTCCCTAATCACAGGTACAATCATCGTCCATCATCCTACGGTTATTCTCAGTGGGCACATATGAGCAAATGTAAGATTTGCATGCAGACGGTCCCTGACACTCAGAACAAGACCAAAATCTCTTATGCTGACAAAAATTGCACTTATTAATGTTCATCTGTCACATTTTATATAAAGAATGCAACCATAAATGTCATAAGATCCACAAAAAAGGATGCTAGACAATCAGTCAGCATGTCCCCATTCACCACTAAAGTCAATATTTATAGATTACTGTGTTCTATGCTGCTTTTCTCTAAACCCCAGAAAACATTTGTCAGATGTTTTCAGAGCACTATTTCTGTAGTTTAAGAACTGCATCCTCCTGCATTATCTACACACATTCTGTAAAGAAAATTCATCATTTTTGACAATATTAGCTTTTTTTTAAATACATAATTTTGTAGTTTTATTACCTGAATGTAGGTTAACTGTGTGTACATGTTCCATACCTGAAATTGCTAAGCAGGGACTAGTAGAGATTTTGTGATTATTATTCACATTCCCCTCATACAGGATTAATAGCCATTTTAAAGACTACATGATCAGCACTTCATGTGCTACTCGGTTCACACCCTTGTCTTTAGGATTATCTGAAAAATATAAATTACACTAATATCTGCCTGCAACAAACTAATTGACTGTCATAATGTATCTTGATTGCCTGCTTAAAGAAAAAATATATATAGCTTACCTCCAGACTTCCCGAGCTCCAATGTGAGGTGTTTAATTAAAGGGTTTTAGTTTAGCTTTATAGCTCGTTTCCAGAATATTTGTCACTGAACAGCCCAGGTTAAGGTGGAACTACTCTGAAAGCTTCTAGATGACAAGACTTGTCTCATGATCCATCAAAAGTGAAGTGGATGAGAGTAAAAAAGTTTTGTGCGTATGTGAGCAAATTTTCAGATTGAACATCATGTAGAACTCAACTCAAAGCTTACCGTCAAATAACTTTGGTACTCTTTTAGTGGAATTTAGTAGAGCAGGCCAGCACAAAGTATACCTGAGAAGTGGAAGAAAAATGAAGTATAGTTTTGTTTTATTTATTTATTTTTTTATATTAATGTGAAAATAGTGGTGGGACTATTTTGTTCCCTTCTATCTGATACCTTTAAATGAAATTCCCTACATTTACTTGCCTTCAAAAATCACCAGTTTCATAAATAGAGTCCATCCATGTGGAATTAATTTCACTACCTATACAACACTTTTGTGACATCCTCACTGATTTAGTAGATAACATTATTAGGCAAAAACAGCATTATGAAGAATAAACAAGACTGCACACGTGTCAGAGATAAACTTATGGGAAATCTGGCCTTCATGAAAGAGCCCCAGAGATATAGCTAATCTTGTAATAATATTAATAAACCAAAAAAACATCCCGTTTAAAGTTTGCTACAAGTTTTATAGATGCTAGAAAGCATGAGGATCTTGGTTCTTGGTTCAAATAGGATACATTGTTGGAAATGCAAAATGCTATATGTAGAGGAAAATTAACTTTGTGCATTATTCTAAATACACTATTACAACAGTGAAACGCAATCATGACATCATGCTGCGTGAAACGTTTTCTTCATAGGGAAAGGGAAGGCAGTCAAAGTTGAAAGGAAGATGGGGCATGGCGGTGGCACAGGGGTAAAGTGCGTGACCCAGATGGAGGCCTTAGCCCTTGACACGGCCAAAGAAAACCATAAAAAAAAGTTGAAGGGAAGACCGATGGTGCAAAAATATAGAAGAACCATGAAGAGGCTGAAAATGACTCGAAACTACAGAAGAGGTTTATCTTCCAGCAGTACAAATGCAAAGCATGGTTTGAATCAAAACATGGATTAACAATGGTGTTCTCAAAGCCCAGACACATATCTAGTTGAGAATCTGTGGCAGGAGTTGAACGTTGATATTAATCAAGGCTCCCAATCCAATCTGACTGAGCTTGAGTTGGTTTGCAAAGTGGGATGAAACAAATGTTTCTGTCTCTGCAAAGATGCCAAAGAGTTAACCCAACAGACTCGTTTCTGTTGTTATGCAGCAAAGGTTTCTACTGATTTATGTTTTTTCTATCACATTATGCAATTTTATTTAAAACACATTAATGTTTGTGGTTGCATTTGTGGCACAGAGGGATAAAAATCCAGTGGTATGAAGAGATGTACAAGGCACCATTTGAAAAGCGGAGTTGCATTCCTAAACATTGGTAATCATCCAGCGCATAATTTGTTTTATGCTACTGAAAGCCATAATGAGTTCTCCAATGTGCATTGCTCAATTAAGGTATGTTGTCTGTCATGTCTTTGTATCATAGCAACTGTGACAAATTTGCACGTATTATGTATTCAATGTTAAACATTATCGGTTGTTTGGTGTTATTGTTTTCTTGCAAAACAAATGTTTGGTGTTCAATGTGCATACCAAATTCAGTACTGTCAAATGCGAAAGGAAAGAACAGCCGGAAAGTAATAGAAGCTATATGTACCAGAGTCAACTTGTGAAATATGTTAAGTTAGAGGAAGAAGGAACGTTTTCCCTTCTGGAGCTATTCCACAACATTTCTTAACTGTCCAATTCAATCCCTTTGTAAAAAAATAAATAATAATAAACATACTGTGAATGTAGCCTTCACCTGACTCCTACATGTTGAATTTGACCACTTTTTTCCTCATTAAAGTGATAAGAAGCAGTCTGTAACTCTCTGTGGGAAATAGGTAATTTTGTTTCATTGTGACTTAAAGTCTTTTCTATAAGCACATTTCATCTATCGTTTCACAAAAAAAAAACAAAAAACAAAAAAAAACATTTGAGGTGGATTTAAACTTGTGCCTTTCACCTGTTTTAAACGTCGCTGTGTTGTGTAGGCTTTTTAATCTACATTTTACCTGAAGAGGTAGACCTTCATATAAGCTTTAATGCAGAACATAATTTTATAATTCCACAACGTCTTCCAAAAAAGTTTAATTGCACTCAACTTGCCTAAGGTGCAGGGCGAATATCATAGATAATCTGCAATCTTTAATTTCTAGCTTTTGGGAGGATGGCAGCAAGTTGAGAGGGAGAGAAAGAAGATGAGAAGCATAACCTCTGTCAAACTGGCTGAGCATCGAAAATGGTAGGCTGCGTTTTCTTTTTTTTTTTTTTGCATGGTCTCTTTGGGGCCTGATTTCCTTCCCTGCTGAGCTGTACCAATGCTGCTCTTTGAAGTGTGCAGCTGGGATGTTTGCATAGACTCATGTCATTGCAGTGTATGTACAGAAATATTCCATTCACGGTGAGATTTACAGGCACACAAAAATGCAGTACGCCGAATTAAAATTTCCATGAGAACTGTGCTTAGTTTACACTTTATGGTAAAACTCAAAGATTATATGCTAATGCTTCTGATGTGCTCTATGATGTGTTAGTGGTGAATAACTTTTCAATTATGCAAAAGAAACAGCTGAAAATAACTGTCATTCCAACCACATTCACATTTTTGTTTCACTTTAGCAGGTTTCCTTTGAAGTAAAAGTGCTGGTAGATAAAGCAATACTCTAGTCACTTTAATTGTGAGATATTCTTGCATAACATTTTCACTGTGATAAAGGAAATTTACTCCCATCTCACCTCTGTATTGTTAATTGCGTTATATGTGAGAGTAGTAATCACAATATGTCACTTTTTTGGTTTGGAGTGGGTCTGCAGACAAAATTAAAATTTGTCGTTATCTCTTTGGTTCTTAATTTCCCCAAGTCGGCCTTGGCCACTGCAGTATGCTAATCATCATACCTGTTTAACAACTTCCTATAATAAAAAAAAAACAAAAAAACAAGCAGTAGGTGAAAAAACTAAATTCCACTTAATAAGGTTCATCCTCAGATTATTCGGTGCTCATTAATAACCCCCCCTTTACCTTGAAACTTTAAAACTTTCACCTTCCCTCAATATAGCCATCTGAATTTTTAAGTTGCATCACTTCTTTTAAGACTTTCTTTGCACTTGTCACTCATGTCAGTGTAATATGCTTTGCTAATATGAACTAGATGATGGTGGAAGTCTCTGTGATCTGTGGAAATCCAGGTGACAAAGTGACAATTGAGTGCAAGTTTACAGGTAATCTAAAAGATAGTGTCCTATTTTATTTTTATTTCTATGTTCCTGTGTGTCTGCTTGAATTTTCCCATTGAAGGATTATTCTATTCTATCCTACTCTTTTCACAGTGAAGTTAATTTTGTGCTACATGGTGTCAAGCAAGAAAAAAAAAAATCTCAGTTTGTGGTAAGCTGATTTGGTGATTTGGTTAAGTCAAGCTACTTATAAAATATCAACATCTACAAACTCTAGGGACTTTAATATTAGATATCTTGCTTCATTTTTGCTTCATGCCAAGTGTTGCATATGACTGACGGAAAAACAAGAACATTTCCAAACAGAGATTGTGTACATAATTGAGTAAAGGCTCAAGGAAATGGAAAGGACATTGAGTTCTTTGCTCATTTCCCTGCAATTTTATTCTTCATTTTTTCTCTGGTTAAAACTCCTAAAAACAAACAAAAAGGGAAGAGAAAAAAAAAAAAATCAAAATTCACAACTGAATTGTTGGAAACCAGAATTTCAGACTTTCGACTTGCATATCTAAAAAAAAAAAAAAAAAGTTCAGATTAAGTTTTATCCAGGTCCTTTTATTTAAAAAGCTTACAACAAATGTCATCTCGAGGCACGTTTTCGATTTCTAACCAAAATATGTACCTGTAGTCAAGTCAACTTAATTATATAAACACATCAATGTTAAGTAAATGTGAGAAGTGTAACCAAAATGTTAATAAAGGTAGTACAATAGAAAGAAAAATTAATTTTGAATATAAAATTAAAATGATAAAATTAAGCCTTCCCAATAAACGTCTATTAATTGTTGTGGTATTTGTTGGAATCAGTCCCCAAAAATACAAATACAGATACAAATTTCAAATACCTCCCTTTCTCTTAAACTAGATCAAACTGAATGTTTTTTTTTGTGAATGTCTAGTTAGTATACATGTTAACTTTTATGACTGTACTTCAAATGCTGCTATGCCCGTGACATTTAAAATCAATATAATCATTTAACACCGAGCGGGAGAATTATCCACTTTCATCATATTGCAGGCTGCTCATGGAAGGTTACCGCGCATGACATCTGTCTGGCTCAATATATTTAATTAAATTTTTGTAATTCACAATAACTGCTGTTCAGCAGCAGCTCATTTGAAGTGACAGATGTGTTGAGAGCTTCAGCAACGGTATTTGTCCAATGCTGACTATTTAGACCATGAGTACAGTACAGATGGGGGTCAACACAGGTGGTGCTGTATGTGATTTGACAAACGTCCAACTGCATGCTGATGTTCAACACATTTTAACGTGGTATTTGCTGATCCACCAAAGGCTACTCACTGTACCACTGGAGCAGAGAAGTAGATCACAGTTCGGAACGGCTGAAATGAGTACAAAAGAATTCAACACAACAACAGATGTGAATAAATTGTAAATCACCATAATTGTGTTCCAGGAGGCCCAGAGAAATAGATGATGTCATTAGGGGCACAGCCGGCGCCTGGTCCCAGAAAAGCCTCTCAGGTGGAATGTACTGCAGTCCCACTATTCCCCTGTCGTAATGTAATGTAGAGTCCAATATCAGCTCTATACTCATGAGGGGGAAGGTGCTTTCTCGTTGAATAATTGAGACCCAGATAGAGAGACCTATGTTTTTTGCGTTAGACAGCAGCGTGGCCTCATTGGCTCTCAGACTCCTTTCAAAAGCTGTATTTGTGCACATTTTACACAATACGAGCTTTCTTTTTCTGTCTTTCTCTGACTGCTAGTCTCTCACACACAAAAACTTAGACATATTGAAACTATTCCTGGGGGATAATTGTCTTCATAAATAATTAGGCATTGATCTTTCTCTTGCTAATAGTTTCTCCACCATTTAGTTAGGCATGCTTTAGGTCACCGATAGGGCTGTGCTTTAAAAGACAAACTGAGGTAACTCTGAGGTTAAGAGCGATGCAGACTCATCCGTTTGTCCTGAATGCCCAAAAAATTGCAACACAACAGTTTTTTTGCCGGCCACAGGATACTTCAACAGGGTCAAATAAACACTTGCTTTACAACCACAAGATGGATTTGTTAATGGATAGTTTCTACTTTTGTAGTAAGGTTTTTTGGAGACAGAGGCATTATTTGGAAAAATAACACTTTGTAAGAGTTCAGATTTTGAAAAATACAAGCTGTTTAACCAAGGCTTTGCTAAATATATGTGCAACCTGTCACTTGTGCATGAGAGTTTATTACTATAATGCTGCCAATATTTGCTCAACTGAATAAAGTACAAATGATTCAGATATTCCTGCTGCGAATAAGCCAAGTCCACCAGAAGGTGTTCTATTTATTTATCAGTTCTTGCTTTTAGAATATGTTTTTAAAAAAGTGGCCTCTTTAAAAAGGCAATTGCATTGTGATTGTGGTGCATCTAAACCAATGAACTGGTAGAAAAGCAACCAAGTTCCATGAATCGTACCTGGTTGTTTTCTTCCCTATTGTATTTAAGTCTCTGTTTCCTGCTCACTTGTTGGCTGATCATCTGTTGTTATCATCTCTGGTTCCTGTGCTCCTTGGATGCCGATTATTGTCATCTGTTTATTAAATATGTAACCTTCTTAAAAGCTTCTGCTGATGTCCTGTTACTGCTTCAGTCCTTCACCACCACTCACCATGGCAGTACAAGCGGTTCAAAAGGAAACCAAGGTAACAGGGTTAGAAGTCATTAAACTCTAAATGTTTCCATCAGCAGGCAGAGAAGACCATGCGGTTGTGCACAGCTATCCAGTTTGCAGGTTTAGTCTGCCATAAAATAAATAAAACAGGCCAAAAAATAATTCTGATAATTGAGTTTAACCTGTGACCTAAATCCTTTTGGTCCTCTTAATTCAGTAATTCTGGATAAGCTGCTGGTGATGGGCAAACAAATCTGACTCACATTGTTATAAGAAAAGATTTTATATTTTTCCAAATGGATTCCATCTGCACCAGAGTGTTACAACCCTCAGTGGTATTACAGCACTCCCACCTTGTCTTCACCTTTAAAACCCTGTGGGACCAGCCATCCTTTACAGTATATGGTTAATATCACAGATCTGACTGATGAAAGGCCAAACCACAGTGTGAGGTATTTAAATTCACCACACTAATCTAGTGTGGGGCGACTGACTGATGAAGTAGCCTATGGCTTCTCACAGGACTTATGAATAATTTAACAGTGGTTCATGTTTAATAGGTTCCATTATAGGAAAGGCAGAGAGGTACTACTTATGATAGTCGACATTTGGTTGCAAAGCTTAAGCCTCGTATGACACTTTTTAAAATATTTTCACAAAAAGATCTGCTATCTATCAATCTAATTGATATTGTCATGTAGTCTCTGATTCATTTGTCCTACCTGGCTTTTGCAACTAGATGCCATTGTGGGACCATGGCAAGAATTTAGTGCTGCAAAAACTACATGGAACAGCAAATGTCATGGAAGCAAAAAATTTGGTATATTGTGAGCATTTTGTCCATGAAAAAGCAAGAAGAGATGAGGTGTGAATCACAGGTAGCTCTGGGCAATGCACTCCAATAGACCTCTTATCAAATGGGAAAAAATCCTTCAAGGAAGACTGATTTAGGAGTTTGAAGTGGAAGCAACAGAGATGTGCAAATGGGTTAATTTACGCTTTCAACCACTTAAATTTATTTTTCATCTGATGCATGTCAAGTATAAAGAGGAAAAACTGAAACATGAAAGGAGAAGGCTATTTGGTTTATTTATGAAATGCAACCTTTGTGGAGAGGCCTAAAAGCTTTTAAATGTCTAGATTTTGAAATGTGCAGTAAGATGTTTTTTTTTTTTTCCTAATAAAAAATCAGAAAAGAAAATCCTACAATTGTTATCATATGTTGTTTTGTTTGTTTCTGTAAGATTTTAGGTCTTTAGGTCTTTTTGTGATTACTTATTTTATATGTCACACTATCATTTTTCAATTAGGCACTTATATTATTAAAAAAGCCACAAACAAATTGCCATCTATCTATCTTATACAAAAAAGAGAGAC